GTGAAAGGAAGAAATACTCGTACGTCGTTAGCAGGAACAGTCTCTCGTACACCGCAACGGTTGGTTTGAGCATCGGAACGGTACGAGCTTTAGCAGTGTTCCAGAAATGGCGCTGTTGTTTTCTAGGGCGCAAACATCGCGCTATTCGGATCGTCCACTCAACCGCCCAGAAAGTCAACCTCACTTGTCAGAGCCCGGCGACTACCGCGACTCGAGGAGAGTTACAGTTCCGGCGCTTGGCTTGCACGAACGGCTACCGTCAAGACTGCCCAAGTTATTACGCCAAGAGTCAGGCTCAGCGCTGCAACGTCCGTTGCAGACACTGACGCGCTCAAGACAATAATCTGGAATGTTCGCTAGGCTTTCGCGGCACTTGCGTAGCTGTCGAGTATGCGGGGTCTTCTCATGGAGAGCAAAAAGGAATACGTACGACCAGCGATTTGAGCGAAATGCTTACCCAAGGGCCGGCTGGCAAGCCTGAACATCGAGGCTTTTATTCAGTTCATTGACAAAGCAGATTGTCACATTGCCTGATGGCTCCAATACGGTTACAGACACGGTCGTCTTACCTATAGGCGCATACATGTTCCGCTTGAGAGACAAATACTCGTTAGAGGCGTTCGATGGCGTGAACAATGCGATCTGGCGTGAGCACCGGAGAAGCATGTGACACGAGCGGTTCTTTGTGGATGAGAAAACGGGCTACCTCGAACAAGGCAGATGGCGCTAGCGGGGCTTAGGTCTTGAGCTTCGGGACTTTGGAATGCCTTACCTGCAAAGAGCTCGTTGTTCGCTAGCCAACCACGCAGTCCTCGGCGGCATCATGAGTCCGCGCCAAGGTCACCACCTCTTAATCAAGTACATATCAGCCTTCAGACGCTGCTCAATTTTTTCTGTATCTTCACTTCCGTATCTACACTAATTCGCATACCTCACCCTCGTTCCCCTGGGTCTCTCTACCCTGCATTCACTCAGAACCCTCCTCCTTCAAGTACCCCAAATACAAACCATACAGACCTTCACGGATAGGGAGCCAAGCCTATCTCGCAACGATGGCGCCCATGACTGCGGAACGCGTTGAGGCACCGGTGACTATGAGAGCCTACCTTATGTGCGCCTTCGCTGCTTTTGCCGGTATATTGTTCGGTTACGACTCTGGATACATCAATGGATGCATGGGTATGGACTACTTCAAGCGCGAGTTTGGCCAGTTCACCGGCATCACCGACGACAACCCTACGGGATACACCTACTCGACCCCTCATACCTCGCTCACTGTCTCCATCCTTTCTGCCGGTACCTTCTTCGGTGCCATCTTCTCCGGTGCCCTTGCCGACTGGATTGGTCGCCGTACTACTATCGTTGCCGGATGCGGCGTCTTCGCTGTCGGCGTTATCCTCCAAACCGCCTCTACCGCCATGCCGCTCCTCGTTGTGGGAAGGTTGATCGCTGGATTCGGTGTGGGCTTCGTCTCAGCGATCAACATCCTGTACATGTCCGAGGTGGCTCCCAAGGCTGTCCGTGGCGCAATTGTTTCGTGCTACCAGTTCGCCATAACCATCGGTCTCATGCTTGCCTCGATCGTTACGAACGCGATAAAGAACCGCAACGACAGCGGCTCCTACCGCATCCCTATCGCCATCCAGTTCGCCTGGGCTATCATCCTCTCCATTGGTCTCCTCCTGTTGCCCGAATCTCCTCGTTTCTATGTCAAGAAGCAGAGTCTTGAGAAGGCAGCGCAGGCTCTCGCGCGTGTGCGTGGCCAGGACCGCAACTCCGAGTTCATCCGGGACGAACTGGCCGAGATCCAAGCCAACTACGAGTACGAGCTGCAGACTGGTGAGGTCACCTGGTTAGGCTGCTTCACAGGCGGCATCACGAACCGCAACAGCAACATCCGAAAGGTCTTTATCGGTACCTTCCTGCAGATGTTCCAGCAGTGGACTGGAGTCAACTTCATCTTCTACTACAGCACTATCTTCTTCCAGCAGATTGGGATCCAGAACGCGTTCCTGATCTCCATGATCACGACCATTGTCAACGTCTGCTCCACGCCCATCTCCTTTTACACTATTGAAAAGTTCGGCCGTCGCCCGCTGCTCATCTGGGGCGCTGCCTGCATGTGTGTCTGCCAGTTCATGTGAGTCTTTGCCTCTTTTCTCATGCTCGGAGTTGAAAGCAGCTGACTGGCCCGCTTTCCAGTGTCGCTATCATCGGATCCGCGGAAGGTGACAACACCCACGCCCAGAAGGCCATGATCGCCTTCGTCTGCATCTACATCTTTTGGTTCGCGTCCACATGGGGTAAGTCTCGCTCCACGATCCTCTTGCCTCGTTCCATTGTGCTGAATCGTTTTCTCACAGGTCCTTGCGCCTGGGTCTCGATCGGTGAGATCTTCCCTCTCCCAATGCGCAGCAAGGGTGTCGCCATGTCGACGGCTAGCAACTGGTTCTGGAACTGCATCATCGGTGTTATCACGCCTTACATGATGCAGCCAGAATACGGCAATCTGGGTACCAAGGTCTTCTACGTCTGGGGCTCGCTTTGCGCCACCTGCATCGTCTTCGCTTACTTCTTCGTTCCCGAGACCAAGGGTCTCACCCTCGAGCAGGTCGACAAGATGATGGAGGAGGTCAGTGCCAGGCAGAGCGCTGGCTGGAAGCCGCATGACACTTTCGCGCGTGAGATGGGTATGAAGGAGAACATGACTGTGGTGACGGAGACGGTTGAGCGGACGGTTTAGGGACTGCGGTGCTGCTGGAATCCCATGAGTTTCTTTTCATGTAGCATTTGCGACCAGCTTTGCGAATGGGTTGGAGACCTCGCTTTGACGAGCGATTGCATATAGTCGAGTGGAGTCAGCACAAACGCTTTTTCACATCTCACACACTAGCCCTGCAAGTCACTGATGATCATCTTTGATAGTTCACAGTTTCTATCTTCGCGCGAACGAGTACAGAAAACTGATACATAACTCTTCAGGAAGCGGCAATCTGTTGTGAGCATCTCGGATAACACGTTAATAGTACATCTCGGATAATACGTTAGTAGTACATTTCAGAAAATCCCAAACACCATTCCTGAGCGCTGGCTGGCCTGGTCCAGACGCCAAGATGCCATGCATTCTTTCATCAAGCCCTGCTGTTCTTATACAACGCCCTTTGTCTCCTCTAATATCGTACAAACAAGCAAATCGATCGTGCAGTCGTTCCATGTCTCCCATACCCCTTGGATATCTTTTACCAACTGCTCCTCCTCCGTCCCATTCCAGGCCTTTGTTTCTCCTGCAACCTCGCCGCGAACGCGCGCTGTAGCGTTGGTTGCGTGCTCGCCACGAACTTCTTCACGAAACTCGCAAACGTCTTGTTGCATTTCCCGTCACTCGTGATTTCGATCAACATTCTCCCATCCTGACCCTCCTTCAGCTTCCAATGGTTCGTGCTTTGGAAGCCGCCGGGTGCTTTGATCAGGATGTCGCAGCCGTCTCTGAGGACGGTGAAGAAGGCCTGGTAGTAGACGCTGCCGTCCCAGAGCTTTTTAGGGATGAAGGAGAGCGCTTCTTCGACCTTGTATTCGGTCGTGGTGTCCGACTGAGAGTCGACGGGCGTGAATCCCTTGCAGTCTGGGTTCAGGGTTATGATGGCGCCGAAATCGTGGAGGAGAGACAGGGCCGCATCTGGAGAGGCGGAGGAGGGGAGTGGAGAAGAGGACGCGTAGGAGAAGTTGGAGTCGAACATTGAGATGAGTTTATCTGGTGTCTTTTGGCAGAGTTCCTGTGCCTAATTGGAAGACAATAGATGGAAGAAGGCAAGGATTACGTTCCTGTTGCTGGGCTGTCGCTGCCGTGATGCAATGGTTGTGAACAGGGAGTAGGTGAAGCGCGAGTAGTTGTACGGGGAATAGTGAATATGGAGAAATCACCTACATTAGTATGATGGCATTCTACGCCAACGCCAATCCCCAGATCCGGCAGAGAACCGTTGTTGGCGGCCCCAAAGGTCCACTCATCTGCTCTGCGACAGTTTACATCATCGACTTGCATTCTCTTGTATCCGCCCTTCCCGGGCCGTGTTGTCACAGTCCAGAGTCGCCGCCTCGGCAGCTGCTGTGAACGCTGTCTGCTCCATCGCGGATGGGTGCTCCCTCCGACTTTGCGTGTCTCTTTCCCGTTCCCGATGGCATATATGCGGGACAGTGTTGCTCGAAACTTTGGCTGCGAGAGAAGCAGGGTCGCTTTGAGATGCATACGTGCCCCTGGAGATATCTGCCACCATCGCTCGGGTGGCGCGCTACTCCGATCAGATCCTCCTGTCGATCCGGAGCTTGAGTCGACCTCTCATCGTTAATCAGAGACCGGAGCAAGGAAAACATTTCCCATCGAACGACATGCTTTTCAGCGCTTGGAAATATTTTCTTGAGGGGTCTGCTGTTATCAAAGACGTGTCCGCCGCGCCCTCTGTCACTACTGCTACTGCACGCACTTTCGCCCGCATCTCCCGCCTCGATCCGCAGATTGGACTTGGTTCACCCGAAGTGCTTCCACATGATTCGAGCACAGGACAAAATCAAACCCACCTGCGTTCACGGCACGAACGGCCACAGGCAGATGAGAATTGGGCATCCCGTCCGCTCTGCCATACACAAGCATCTGACCGTCCGGTCAGTACTACAATCGGTGACGGTGTGGGAATCCCGGATGCCGTTCGTTTTTATTTTTGTTTTTCCCGCAGCTGGCCGTCTCGGCTTCGGCAGTGCAAAGCTGACACGACACGGCTCTCGCATGACTGCTCGCCGCATGGGGCCAACCACTGTTTCCCGCCGCGGCACTGGAGACGACCCCATCCCCAGCGGCTCTATACTTCACAACGATGCAGCTCCTTCGGACCATGAACCAATGTTTCAGTTAATCCTTAGTCACATCACATGGTGACTTGATCCTCCAATTCACATTCAGTTACATCACATGATCACTTACCCATTTAGCTCAGTCATGGTTACAAGCCCTTTTAGCTCAGTTGGTAGAGCGTAGCACTCGTATACTAGTTTGCTTCTGCTTCTAGTCTGTGAATGCTAAGGTCGATCGTTCGACTCGGTCAGGGGCAGGGCACTCACTCACCTGAGTCATGCATCACACTCCTCTCCTTCTCTCGTGGCGCAATTGGCTAGCGCGTTCCACTGTTACTGTTACTACCACCTCCTTGCAGTGCGATCGAGAGGTTGGTGGTTCGAGCCCACCCGAGAGAGAAGGCCACTCCTTTTGCTCTTACCTCCACCGCCATAGGTCTTGCTGATGATCCGCTTCATCTTGAGCCCACAATGAGCATATATACCACGATTCGTTGCTGACTCGAAGATGTTCGAAGCGAGCACTGAGGGGTCTTTCTTTTGCCCCCGGCGTTTGCTGCGAGAGAGAACGTTGTCTTCTTGCTGGAACATCTCTTCCCTGGCTTTACGAATTTGCTCGTTACAGCCGGGATTTCTTGGGTTTTCTCAGTTTATGGATAGGATATGAATGAAAAAACCAGTCACAGTGAGCATCACGTGAAATAAACCCGCAAGCCCACTTGCGATTGCGGGGTAATCCTGTTCTCCAGGCACTTTGGTTAGTTTCAGCCTTGCCACACCTTATCCAATTATCCTAACAATGTCCAAGGCGGAGTGGTTAACGCGCTGCCCTGCTATACTCGCCAGGCAGTTCCTTCGGGAGCGTGTGTTCGAATCACACAGGTGTCGATCCTTTTGTTTTGACGTGATCCCTTTTGTCACTCAATGTGTTCATCAGCAGCCTATGTACATGCTCATTTCTGTCGGAGACCCGAGGAAGGCAAACCAACAATTGAAGAATGGAGATGAGTGAGGCGCCCATCAAACAAACTGGTGTCAACGCTCACGAGAGAGACGTGCGGACAGCACCAATTCGTTCTTGAGACGACACATGAGAACGCTAGGTACGTGTACCTCGGCTCAGAGATCAGTCCACTTGGTCTCGTTATCAACGACTACAAGATATAGGCGGGCCCTCATGAATACCTGCATACTCAAACCACACATGATTCAGGCAGGCCTTGCCTCACGATCCAAGCGCACGCAGGCTTACATTCCAGCTTAGCTGCTTGTTTGGCTCGAGCCGTGTTCTCCTTTGGAGTCTCAACTCTGCGCGCGAGCGACCACTTGGCCGAAGACTTTCTTGCTGGTGTGACGCCAGCTGATCCACGGACTGGTGCGACCGGTAGTGGCCGCTCCGTCTTACGTTCCGGTAAGCGTTGTCTGAAGGTGGCCACAGCATCTGCGATAGCCCTCGTGTTAATCAGGGTCGCCTCCAGGTCGAGATTGGTGATACTGTCTCCAGGACTGTGGTGATCGGCAAAGAGCGCGATGCCAGCGGTGCCGCCGAACATGGCGACTTCCTCCTCGGTTTTGTTCTCATCAGCACCCGTGAATAGCCTACCGCGGGCAATACCGGCATGCAAGAATGGGCCGTAGTCGGACCGACCATCGGACGCGGTAGCTGTGCAGTTCAGCCGTTGCGATGAAAGAAGTCTTCGAACAAGTCCTCGGCTTCGGCTGAACCGGCGGGACCGCTAAGGTCGAACGCGCTGCCGTGTCTGTAGTAGATCGCACAATATGCTGGCAGATTTGACCGTTGGTTGGAGTCCCAGGCTCCCTGACTGTATGTTTACATGCGGCTGAAACCCATATCGAAGTTCAGGTAGAGAGGAAGCTTGGCGAGCTCTTCCGCAGACAAATGTTCCACGCAGGTCGATCCGAGCAATCCCTTCTCTTCGCCGCTCCACTAGTCGAAGCGGACCGAGTTGATCGTGCTGTAGTTGAATAGCTGAATGGCGACTTCCAGAATGCCAACGCTGCCCGAACCGTTGTCGTTAATACCGGGACCAGCAGCTACGCAGTCGCTGTGAGCACCAAGTGTCAGAGTACTGTTTGGATTGTCACCTCGGGTCTGAGCTATGATGTTGTACGTCGATGCGTTGTAGACAGAATTTGTGATGTGCGAGACACCCGAAAACGGAGAAGCAGGACTGGCTACGGTTGCCAGCTGTAGGCCATCGCTTCGAGAAATACCGCCAGCCGGCACGTAAGGACTTTCAGGCCGCGAAGGAACGCCAAGAGTACGGCTTGTGATATCGCCGGCGATGTTATTGTAGACAAGCACGCCAACTTCACTGGCTGTTCTAGCGAGAGTTGATTTCAATCCCAATTCGTAGCTGCCGCGAGGTATTAGAGCAATGTTGCCAGAAGCTTCGGCCGGGTAGTCCTTTCGTTACTATCAGTCACAGCTACGGAAATTGTCTGAATGTGTCGCTCCACTCACAGCGTTGCAGTCCAAGCTTTGACTGGTACAATCTGATCCGTTGCAGTACCATTGTGAGAATAATCCATGAGATCGACCGGGTATGCAGTGCCATTGGCGGAGAAGCTAGCACTTCTCCTGTCCGAGACAAGCGCGCTCCAAGGCTGAAGCTGAAGTCGGCTGAGGGAGGTCCTGCTCAAAGCTCCGGTGAGTTTCGAAAAGGGCCGTGGACTCTCATGTAATCTGCACATCCGCGGCATGAGAGGGTTTGTCCATCATGTTGCATAGATAAAACCCGCACCGTAAACCGTGCTTCTGTATGGCGGCATATTGTACGATAGCTGATCGCATGGGGCTGAGCTTGGCCAAGATGCCTCATGGGTAATCGCCGTAGATATTCAGCAATAGAATGTGTTGACTGTATGATTGAATGACTCCAGCTGTGGGGCTCCTGCAACATAAGAAAGCACCAGAATCAGGAAGGGGAGGAGTCAAGAGTCGATCAAGGGCAAAGAGATAATGATGCGACTTTGGAACAAGACAACATCTCTGCCGAGGATTCAGTTGTGCCGCGAGTTCGTACCTCACCATCATGCTCATATATACGGATGGATCCGTGCGGCTGGTTTTTCGCAGACAATCACCATTGCGGGCCGCCGTCAGCGTGCGAACGAGGACAGAATTTAGGATGGGTGATCACGGAGACACAAAGGTCTCTAAGAACTTGGGTTCGTATCACTGTAACCGAGCCAGGAGAAGACCGCGCATCATAAGTTTTGATGAAGTATGGTGCAAAAACTTCCCACCCACATGGGAAAGTCACCTGTGCCAAAGCTAGACATCTACCAAATGCGGTTAGGTCCCAGAATTAGATGGGCATTGCACCAAAACCCCACCAAATGCTCGACACTCCAATTCGATACTTCTTCCACTCCCCGTTCAGAAAATAATGAAATGAAAACATTAAGCAACAACAACAACAACATCAACATCAACAACAACAACAACATCACCCTTTGCTGCTCCTTTCGAGACTCTTGTTGCTTTTCCAGTGTACTCTCGAAAACGAAAGCTTCTTCAGGAAGTCTTGCACCGTTTACCAGCCGCCCAAGCAGCATCCTGCATCTGCATCCGTGATGGCGGAAAAGCTGGAGGGGATGGACCGTAATTCGCCAAGATTGGAGAATCTTCTATACCAGCAACTTCCCAACGAGCTCTGGGCATACATTCTCGCTCAGATTGATGACCTTGCCTACCTCTGGCTGCATTGTCGCCTAGTGTCGTCTAAATTCCGGTCACTGGTGGATCTGATCTTCGCATCGCGGTATCTTCAGAAGGTTTCTGTCCATTTCCTGCTCCCCACCTACAAGGTTGATACCAGCGGAGGGACAGGTATCAGTTTAGACGATATCGACCTCAGTCCAGTATGCTCCTTCGAACGTCTTTCGGAAGACAAACAAATCGCCTTCTTCAAAGTCAAACCCGAAGCTCATTTCGACGCGAACATGCGACTCGCAGGAGTTGATCAGCACAACTTGAAAAGATCGTGGCATATGGCAATGAGAGCTTACAAACGCAAGGTGACCGAATTTCCCTGGACCATCCAACTGGACGACAGAAATTGCCTTTTCTACGAACCTCCACTGAAGGCATTCGCATGCGATGTGGAAGAAGGTGAAACCCAGTTTGATTGGAAATGCATGCTCCAGCTCTTTTTCCTCGAGCACAACAATGCTGAAAGGTTTGCCAAACATTGGGTATGTCCTTTTATCACTTGCGGCGGCCTTCACGCTTACAGTGTTATGCAGAAAAGCGACGAGTACAAAGCCGCGCTTTCTGTACGGCGAGATCGCAAATCCGCGGCACATGTTGAGCGTCTCATTGACTGCGTTTGGTCACGGATGGTTCCGACATGCTGCACTCAACCTGCCCTTTACGGTCGCATAATGGCAAGGCGGGATCGCTACCGCCAATACTACCTCAAAACTAAGGGAACAGACCTTACAGAAGCGAAGCGGTTTCTGGATGTCGAGTCAATCATTGTGCAGAATCTGGTTGACTATGAGTGGATGTACGAATCGGATCTCACATCGCACACATCGCGTCGGCGGGATTCAAAGGTTTGAAGCGAAATGGATTAAGGGAACATGTTGCCAGGACCTTTGACCTGCAAGTGTTCAAATGCTAATGGTACACTAAAAAGTGCCGAACATAAATGGTCATGAACAGCAATAAGATATTCGTCTAACACAGCGGGTTTGAAGATAGATTGTTGAACAAAGCTCTAGATCTAGACAGCGGTAGATCGTTAGCACCACATACGAACACGCCTTTGAGACGCATACATTTACAGCTAGGAAGTACAGAAAACAGACAGATAAAACAGATATAGTTTTCGTGGAACGTGACTGCGCATGAAACACGAAAGCCTCTCCCGCAAAGCTTATCTGCGTTTATAGACGTGAATAGCTGCACAACTCCCGAAGCGTTCCGTTCAAGATGCTTACTAACGATACTTGTGGGCCCCAGCTTCGATTAATGGAATGACGTGAAATGAAGACAACGGATGCGCCGGAAACCGCCCTTCATGTGCACTATCGCGCACGATACAACAACCTCCGCCAGCAATTAAAGATATAGGCTCTGTGCGACACGGATTCGAGGAAGATGACAGAGACCGGCCACGACACGCACGAGAGCAGTACCTGGCGCCGCGAGCTTCGGCCTGCACGCGATACCAAAGACGACTGAGACACTCCAACTCGAGACGCGGTTTTGGGGCTGAGTCGATGGCCAGCTATCCGACATGCCCCTACCTGCCGTGTCCTTCCTCGTAGGACTTGCCGTGGTCCTCTACCTGTCGACGTTTATCCTCTTCGCCCTCCTCCGAATCATAACTGGCGTTAGCGTACAAAGAGTTGGATATACCGGATTTCGCAGGATCGCATTCTTTCCACGGGATGGCATCAAGGTTCATATCCGAGGAATCAGTCTTTCGGTTCACCGGCCCACCTTTGCGCAGCCGACATGGCTGAGCTTGAACCTTACGGAGCTACAGATATTCGTGGATCTACGGGCACTCAATGCGAACAAAAGGAAGGGTAGTCAGGATACGGAGAAACAGAATGGATGCAAAGTGACTCCGGCTTCGAGCAATGGCGGGCCCGAAACCAACGCAGATAACGACGACACACATGGCCGCACATGGAAGAAGTTGACCAAGATCAAGGAGACAGTTAAGCGATTGCACCGCAAGATCAAATGGATTCGGCTTGTGGATCTCGTCGCTACGGGGTCTACCGTAGTTATTCGAGATGTGGGCACGGTCCGGGTGGAGCGGTTCAATCTATCAGTGGACACCCGCGTACAGACGGTTGATAGGAGTCGCCTGTTCCAACACCAAATGACCAAAGTGGAGAGCCAA